TTACAGATACCAGAAATTAGGACTTGATATGTTTGGGGACCACTATTCAGGCCCCTACAGCATTATTTCTCACTTATGCAAATACATATCCATCACACAAGTGTCTGGCAAAGTGGAAAGCCTCCTTTATGTGGTCACTCAAGGCTGGTGAAGGCTTCACCATGCGTAGCTGCATCTGCTCGAACATGAAGCCTCGTCAATTATTGTGGAAGGAGAAAGATAACAAGAGAGTAATCTGTATGCTTCAATTCATCGAGAAATGATATATATCAGTTCTTTCTACAGTCCATTGTCTAAAACTAATAAATGTCTCAGCCTACCTATAATGGGCAGGCACCTGTGGGGAAGTAGATGGAATGTTTGAATATCATTGTTTTGGTGACTCATGCTGTATCAGTATTTATAAATAGAATATTGATATTTAACCTTAGAGAACACCTGATATGTACTAGAAATTATTTTCTGCTTTGTATGTATACGACCTGATAACCTTCTTGACAATCCTATGAGGGTGGCATGATATCATGATCTCCCTCCTTGCAGATGAGAAGCTGAAGTTTGATGAGGATAAATTACTCACCCATTTTGAGGACAAGCCACTTTAGTATGCAGAACAAACTTGTAACCACTGCACATGTAATGGGAAAGGTTTAATAATTCTGCTAGGAGTGTTGCCTCCAAGGAGACTGTATAGAGGAAAGAATGAATCTATCTCCTTTGTTAGGAAAAAAAAAAAACTTCCAGGCTGTAACTGTGGTGGTAAAGCAGGTGGAATTAAAAAAAAGATTTTGTTAAAGATACTTATTGAGACATCTTTAAAAATGAGCAGAAATGAAAATGAAATTAAAATTTAATTTAATTTAAAAAATTTAAAGTACCAAGTGCTGCAAAAATGTGGAGAAATTAAAATGTGTTGGCAATTGGGAATGCAAAATGGTAGAGCCACCACCATAAACAGTTTGGCAGTTTCTATTCAATTAATTATATTTACCAAATGACCAAGCAATCCAACACCTAAATATTTACTCAAAGGAAATAAAAACATATGTTCATACAAAAATTTTAGCCAATGTTTAGATCAGGTTTATTTATAATCACTAAACACTGGAAACAATAGAAGAGGCCCTCAACTGAGGAAAGAAAAAAAACAACGTATAAAGTTTATATTATGGAATACTACTCTGCAATTAAAAATTTCCACCATAGATACAGGTGACAATATGGACAGATGTCAGTTGAATTAGGCTAAGTGAAAGATGCCAGAATCAAAAGATTACATATTCTATGATTCTAGTTAAGGACATTCTTACAAAGGCAAAATTGTATAGAAGAAACCAGTTTAGTCATTATGAGGGGGAGTGGTTCAGAGAGAGGGTTGACTACAAAGAAGCTCATGGAATTTATTATGTGTAACTGTGGTAGTGGATACATGACTATACATAAAAATTAATTATCAAATTATTAGAACAATATACTAAAAGGTGTGCATATTACTGTTTTGAACTCACACATTATTAAAAAATAAAATAACAATATGAAAACATATATGCACACTCAAAATATCCAACTTGGTCCCCCCAGGGAGTTTAATAACTTCTTCCCTAGGAAAGTAGAAAGAGAAGCTGTAGATGTTCTCCTGGGGGACAGCTCCTGAGAGCTCCATGTCTCTATAAGTCCCTCTGGGTTTCCATGCATTAGCCTCTGAAATCCATGACTCCAGGTGACTTTATTTTAGAGGGACCAGACTTTGGTCCTAGACTCTTTGATCATCATGTATTAATCTGAATGTTGATAGTTGTTTGAGCATGCAGGCCTTCTCTCCGTCTTGATATTTCCTCTGAGTCTGCAGTGATGGCCAAGGAAACACTCCAAGGTAAAAATTATATTGAATGACTTTAAAATGATAATTCCTCAGCTTACCAAGTTACTTTATAGGCATTTCTTTATTTGCTATTTACAGATACATTTATGTGGATTATGTAGGAGAGGTAATTTTATTACATTCATTTTGCGAATGAGGAAGGAAGTGACCCTTCCAAGGGCACAGAAAGAATGCATGGTAGATTCAGGACTTGAACTCATGTTAATGTTCTTTCTTCCATTGTTCTCTGCATTAGAGACCTTGGAAGCTTTGGCCTCTATTTGAGAGTTTCTCTGACAGTATGCATTATTCCATGGCTGATTTTTTAATTTCAAACACACTATCCAGTATTGACTGTCGCTTGTTTTCAAGCAACAAAGTAAGCTTCTATAATCAATATAAGCCTTTAGTGAAAACTGTAATTCATGCAAAAGCAGTGGGGTAGCTACATTTACTATGATTTATTGAGCACAGAAATACATGTTTTGAATATTTTCCTTAAAAATTGAAGCTGGGAAGTAAATGTCAACAGTTTCATCAGTAGAAAGTTAGATGATACTCATGAAACAAGATCACGCTGCTCCTATGAAAAGATTAACAAAAAAATAGTATAGGTCATGCTACAGTTAGGTGGTAATTTTCTCTATTCGCTATTTGTTAGCCTCTTATTGGAGGCAAAGAAAAAAACCAGGAGAGTGAAATGACACTTCTTTAAACTACAAAGGGACCAAAGTAAAATAACAAGATTCAAATTTCATTATAACATTTTCCACACAATTTCATCCTTATTATTTCCAGCATACCTACACACATTGACAGCAAAAGGCTTCTGATCAAGTCAAAAATGGATTTAAATCCTCATACTAGCTGTGTAATTGTAGATCATTACATAAATTTACAAATTCTCAATTTTTTAATGGTAAAATAAGAATAAGAGTACCTAACTTACACACACACACACACACACACATTTTTATATATAAACCTCTTAGCATTGGTTGTAGTACATAGTATGTGCCAGAAGTGGTTGTGCATGTCAACATAGGCAAACACAACCTTCATGGGCTAGGCTTCTAAAGTGAAGTTGCTAAAGGTATAGGAGGAAGATGGCAAGAAATAATAGTCAGCATTGGATGGCTGGCCTTCCAAAAGACTCATATTCAAATAAAAAGAATTAAAATACTGTTGCTGGGGCAGAGTGGTTAAGTTCATGGGCTCTGCTTTGGCAGCTTGGGGTTTCACTAGTTCGGATCCTGGGCGCGGACATGGCACCACTCATCAAGCCATGCTGAGGCAGCATCCCACATGCCACAACCAGAAGGACCTATGACTAGAATATACAACTATGTACTGGGGGGCTTTGAGGAGAAGAAGTTAAAAAAAAAAAAAGAAGATTCATAATAGATGTTAGCTCAGGTGCCAATCTTTAAAAAAATAAAATTCTGTTCCTACACAAGAAGCGATTCACATAAAATATTTAACATCACAGAGTTTGCCACAAAAACAGATCTGCAGTCAAAAGCAAGCCACAAACTATGAACTTTCACCCTCCATCTCTGTGATTCAAATACGGGATGACAGTAATGTAAAAAAGAGTGAGTTTAACAGAAGGAGACTCTTTCAATGCAAATTAAAAGATAAATTTCTAGGAAAAGTTAAGAGAAAAAATTACTACACAGAAGAACTAAAGCCGCTGATTGTATGAGTGGAGCAAGGACAGAGTGAAAGTTACTGGAGAGCACAGAAAATCTCATGGTCCTATGGTGTGAGAAAAGGGAAACTGAAGAAGGAGGCTGCAAGACTTCAAAACACACTGCATGCTGCTACCCACCTTTTCCAAAACAACATAGAGATCATGATTCCATCCTAAGAATAGTATTATAGCTAACATTAATCAGATTATGCTAAACACCCAACAATTTACTCATTGTTCTTTTTTTTTTTTTTTTTTTGGTGAGGAAGATTGGTCCTGAGATAACATCTATTGCCAACCTTCCTCTTCTTGCTTGAGGAAGATTGTGCCTGAGCTAACATTTGTGCCAATCTTCCTCTATTTTGTATGTGGGATGCTGCCATAGTATGGTCTGATGAGAGGTGGGTAGGTCTGTGCCCAGGATCTGAACCCAAGGACCCTGGGCTACTGAAGCAGAGCATGCAAGCTTAACCACTACACTGTGAGGCCAGCCCCTACTCATTGTTTCTTTAATACATTATCTCATTTAATTCTTACAATAATACCTTGAGTTATATCTCATTACTATCTTCTTTTTGTAGATGGAAAAAATTAGGTTCAGGGGAGTTAGGTTAGGATTAATGACTCCTAGGTAGTGAATGGTAGAGCTGATCTGCACCTCATCCCAGAGCCCAAGCTCTACACCTGCTGCTATGTTTTCCCCTCAGAATTGTCTCTTCTGGTTGTACTTGCCCCCACTGTTCCACTTATACCACCACACACGCTATGCATATAAGTCTCAGCTGCTTCGCTGTGAAACCCCACACACTGAGCTTGGACCAATGGAAACAATGAGTAATTGTAAACTGAGTTAAATTTGATTTGATTTAAATTCAAGTAATTCCGTTTTACTTAGGAACCACTCTACGTGGACTCAAAGCCATTAATACTTGTAGAAACATGAATAAATTGCTCAACATCTTTGCCTCACAATTTAAATGAAAATAACAACTAATTGACCTCATAACATTGTTGAACGGAATCAATGGATTTACAAGTAAAGTGTCTGGAGCAGTCCTGGCATCTAAGCAACATATATAAGCTTTTACTAGTATAGGAAAAACTGAATTGGCACGAAAAAAGAATCCTGGACATGTCGTCTTGGACAAGTCATTAAATTTTTCAAATCTCAGTTTACAAATATAAAAAATTTAAAAACTGAGGAGAGGATCCATAAAAATTCTTCCAAGTCAACATTTTTAACTCTATAGATAATTATATACTATATTTTGTGGTTAACCTCATGCTTTAGATATGGAGAATCGTGAAATACATGTTATTGCTATAATGAAATAATGCACATGGTAAACAAACATTTCAATTTCACTCTAATCTCTATTCCACTTAACACTCTTGTCCTTTGTTTCACCTTGCTACAGGACACCTCATGATTCCCAAATAACACCAATGGATAACAGGACAGAAGTGACACAGTTCATCCTCCTAGGACTAACCAATATCCCAGAATTGCAGATGCCCCTCTTCATACTGTTCACTCTCGTTTACCTTATCAGTGTGGTTGGAAACCTGGGGATGGTCCTACTAATTCTCATGGACTCTCATCTACACAGTCCTATGTATTATTTTCTCAGTAACCTGTCTCTTGTAGACTTGTGTTACTCTTCAGCTGTCACTCCCACAGTCATGGCTGGGTTTGTTACAGTAGACAGGGTCATCTCCTACAATGCATGTGCTGCTCAGATGTTCTTTTTCGCAGTCTTTGCCACTGTGGAAAATTATCTTTTGGCATCTATGGCTTATGACCGCTATGCAGCAGTGTGTAAACCTCTGCATTACACCACCACCATGACGATGAGTGTGTGTGCACGTCTGATCATAGGCTGTTATGTCTGTGGTTTCCTGAATGCCTCCATCCACATTGGCGACACATTCCATCTCTCTTTCTGTATGTCCAATGTGGTCCATCACTTTTTCTGTGATATTCCAGCAGTCATAGCTCTGTCTTGTTCTGATAGGCACGTGAGTGAGCTGGTTCTTATTTATATATCCAGCTTCAACATCTTTTTTGCTCTCCTGGTTATCTTCATATCTTATCTCCTCATATTTATCACCATTCTAAAGATGCAGTCATCTTCAGGATACCAGAAGGCTTTATCCACCTGTGCCTCCCACCTCACTGCAGTCTCCATCTTCTATGGGACAGTTGTCATCATGTACTTACAGCCCAGCTCCAGCCATTCCATGGACACAGACAAAATGGTGTCTGTGTTCTATAGTATGATCATCCCCATGCTTAATCCTCTGGTCTACAGCCTGAGGAACAAGGAGGTCAAGAGTGCTTTCAAGAAGGTTCTGTTGCAGGCAAAATTGTCTCTAGGTTTAGGAATGCTGTAGCATTCACTGTGACCAAGTTTAATTTCTCTCAGATCTTCTCCACTTACTGAGTCATATTTTAAGGTCCACACTCAAGTTAAGTTCCTGAAGTAAACCCTTCCCTCTTCAAAGGTTTGTTGTCTAGAAAAAAGGAAACATGAAAAAATATAATTCCTAAATGAGAATGGCTAAGATGAATCATAAGACATCTTGTGTCCTGCATGTTGAATACCTTATTGAGGATATTTGACTCATTCACTCATTCTACATGGATTTCCTTTACCACATGCCACTACAAACATACATGTAAAGGAGGGGCAAAAGCAATCTCATGAGCAGGAAGAAGTGCGTGCCTGTGCCTCACATGGGTACTTGTACACGGGAGTGGGAAATATGTCATATGTAATGAAATGTGGCTAGTTTTTTATTTTAATAATTTAAATAATTAAATGGAGTATTTGAACATCAGTTTACGTGAAATATTATTTATTTTATTGAATAAACGTTCTAAGGGTCCTAATTTGAAAATAAAGTGATACACTTTTAAGTGAAAGTATTTGCCTTTCCATTGACACATTTTATCTAGAGATACATAAATATAGCACCTTAAATAAATTAATTTTTATGTCTTGACTGAGTCATTTTATACAACCAACATGTTCACATTACAATTTTCAAGAGCCAGAGTACAAGAAAAATGGAGGGAAAATAAAAACATTTTCCAATTGGAAAATTACTGCATACATACAAATTAGATTTAACTGAAATTATTCCAAATGCCCATATAAATATAAACATGACAGTATCTGTCAGTAATAAAGACAGTATGCATTCATTATGCTGGTATAACACACAGTCTTCATGCTTTTAATTTTGATCCTCAGGGAGCTCAATACTGTACAAAACCTACTTATGCTAATGTGCACTAATGTCTAATTGGTTGTCTCTATAAAATAAGAGACTTCAGCATCTCAATAATTGTGGGATTGTGCCTGAATGTGCTAGGATTCTTATGGTGGTACTTGTGGATCAGTATAGTTTGACACAAATATTCATTTCATTCTTTATGGTAACGTTTCTCCTCTTGGAACCATTTCTGATTTTTAGTTTAAATGATCCTTTAATTTTACAACTATTTCAGGTTACAGAAGATTTTCAAAAATAACACAGAACGGTTCTATATAATCTTGTGGCAGGCTAGAATAGCTGCCAAAAGATCCATGGCCTAATGCCTGGAACCTGTGAGCACTAATTTATATGGCAAAAGGGGACTATTAAGATGTGATTAAATTAAGAATTTTAAGATTGAGAGGTTATTCTGAATTTTCTATCTGTACCCCAAATAAAATCCCATATATTCTCATAAGAAGGAGTTAGAGAGGATAGGATTTTGGGAAGATACTTGAAGAGGAGGCACCAGACTCTGTCTCCTCAACTAGACAACTACACTGGCAGAATCTGTCTGACATAATTCTTTGGGAACTCTGGAGCCTGTTGAAGGCTTGCAATTTCCAGGGGACAATTTGGATGATAAATTGTGGTTAATTTTGAATTTCATCTCTTAGTACAGTAGCAGTTACCCATTTCCCATCGGCAGCCAACCACTTTTCCCACCCTCAGCCACATGGTAAGCAGCTGTGCACATTTGCCTACAGCAGCTTGCACACAGCTTGCAAGAGCCAAGGTGGCAAAAAAGACTCTGTCTTCCAAATTGGGAATTTGTACTCTGATTTCTGCTTCCAACCATGAGGTGCAAACAAAGAGGTAGGCAGCAACTGCTGTTGCATCTGCACTATGGTTTTAAGCCTCTCTCCATTTAGCTGAAATGACTTCCAGGGGATTTAAAGGGCTAGTGACCTCTTTATATCCCTTAATTCTCTTTTTCCTCTTGTGGGAGCCAGATGTTAAAGTCTAGGACATTAAAAACAACTGCATATATGGGGACAATTAGAAGGTGACCACACATGCCCAGGAAAAAGCTCAGAAAAGACCTGAGAAGACTGTAAGTTTATATGTCAGAGTGGTCTTCAAAACGGACAGGACAATCAAAAAACAAAAACAATAAGAGAAAAGGGCAAACTCTGGGGAAAGGAGAGAATCTGATGTCCAGAATTAACACAGTATTAGATTCAAATGTCCAGTTTTAAACAAAAAGATCATAAGGTATACAAAGACACAGAAAAATATGCCCAATTCAAAGGAAAATAATAAATCAACAGAAACTCTCCCTGAAAAAGACATGACAGCAGATTACTAGACAAAGGCTTTGAAACAATTTCTTAAAAATGCTCAAAGAACTAAAGGAAGATGTAAAGAAAGTCAAGAAACAATGTATGAACAAAATAGAAATATCAATAAAGAGATAGAAAACCTAAAAGTAAACCAAAAGAAATTCTGGAGCTAAAGAGTACAATAACTGAAATAAAAAATTCACTAGAAGGATTTAAAGGAAGAGTTGAACAGGCAGAAGAAAGAATCAGCCACTTGAAGATAGGACAATGAAGATTAGTGATTCTGAGGAACAGAAAGAAAAGACAGAAAAAAAGTGAATGGTGCCTATGGACCTGAGGAACATCATCAAGCAGACCAACATTCACATTATGGGAGTCTCAGAAGGAGAAGAGAGTAAAAAATAGAGAGAACGTTGAAAAACGATGGCTAAAAACTACCCAAACTTAATGAAAGATATGAATATAAACAGCCAGGAAGCTCAAAGAACTCCAAGTAAGATGAATTAAGAGATGCTCACTGAGACATATTATATCCAAACTTTTAAAAGCTAAAGACAAAGAGAGAATCTTGAAAACAGAAAGATGGAAGCAGATTATCACATACAAATGATCTTCAAAAAGATTATCAACAGATTTCTCATCAGAAATTTTGGAGGCCAGAAGGCAGTAGGCAAATATATTCAAGTTATTAAAGGAAAAAAATTTGTCAACCAAGAATTCTACATCTAGGATAACTGTCCTTCAAAAATGAGGGACAAATTAAGACATTCTCAGATACATAAAAACTCAGAGAGTTTGCTAATACTAGACCTGCCCTGCACGTCTTGCCCTGCCAGAAATGCTCAAGGGAGTCCTCAAAGGTGAAATGAGAAGACATTAGACTGTAAATTAAAACAAGATGGAGAGAAAAACATCTTAATAAAGGTAATTATGTGGACAATGATTAAAACTAGTTTTATTAAAACAATGGTTTGTAACTAATTTTTGTTTTCTACAGGATTTAAGGGACATACATTTAAAGAAAAAAAAGTTATTAGTCTGGAAGGTAGTGTTATTTTAACCTTGATTTGTAAATCCAAATCTTGTTTTCTTGTTGGAAGGCATGCACCAACACAAACATACAGAATCCTTATGCAAGGCAAGGGAGAATTAATACTATAAAGTATTTATGAAAATCTGCCCAATCATTAGGTGATCACTAACCTAAGTGAGTAGAAACTTCAGTGGTGACATACAACAGATACAGAATTAACATAAGTAATCGAGGAAAATCACTAAACAAACAAACAGTATCCTCATCCACAACAAATACTAAGTGGGAGCAGAGATCTCAGGATAAGCTACATTTTATTAATTCGATTGTCCATATTTCAATTGCAAAAATATATATATCAGACGAAGAAAAAGGAAAGTATGACCAATACATAGATTTTAAAAAATAATCAATAGAAACCATCCCTGAGGAAACCCAGATGTTGGGCTTAATAGAAAAAGATTTAAAACACATATAAATATGGCCAAGGAACTAAAGGAAACCAAGTCTGAAGAATTAAGGTAAGCCTGAGAACAATGTCTCACCAAATTGAAAATATGAAGAAACATACAGAAATTATTTTTTAAAAAACAAATAGAAATTCTTGAGTTGAAAAGAATAATCAATAAAATATAAAATTTACTAAAGTGGATCAGTAGCAGATTTAAGCTGAAAGAAGAAAAATATCAATGAACTTTAAGATAGGTCAGTTGAGAATATCTAGCATGAAGCACAGAAATAAAAAAGAATGAAGGAAAGTAAACTGAGTGTCAGAAACAAGTGAGATACTATCAGAAGTACCAACATACACATAATGGGAGTCCCAAAAGGAGACAGAGAGAGGGACAGAAGGAATATTTGAAGATATAATGGCCAAAAACTTCTTAAATCTGAGAAAAAGAATGGAATGCAAATAGATTGAAATTTTAACAAAGTGAACTTCAAAACATTAGCAGATATGTACATTAACAAACTCATACCATTTATATACAAATAAGTTATTAATACTATTGTAATTCTTGGTGTTTTAAGTTTAAAAATTAAATATTATGTTTTTATTTAAATAAATTAAAATATACATTTATCATCCTTTTCTTTTTTCTATATTGTGATATGTTTTCTCTATTAAAATTGTCATATAAACATATTAATTTTAGATATAACTCACGAATATGGAAATTTGGATAGGAAAATAAATGCCCATGTAAAGGCATGTATTTACATTAAAAACAAGAAAGAACAAAGAATAAAACATCTACAATCAAGAAACTTTGGAAGTATTTTTATCAAGGTTAGTTTAAAAATATATAAAACCTATTGCTTTTTCATATATAAAAAGATAAAGTGAAATATAATTTTTGAAAACCAAAAACATATGTTAGATATATACATATATGTATATATATTTATAGCAAATCAAATATTAATATTAAAACATGTTCTCAGGCACCAAAATAATTGTTTTAAATTCTAATATAACAATAGACCTACCTCATGTATGTCTCAACTAATTTCTCCTTCTATAGGTGTGTGGTTTTCATGAGTTTCTCATGAATGATGTATGTGTGTGCATATGCTTATATATGCAACTGTGAGCGGATATGTTCATGTGGGAGTGCAGGAAAGCATGTTTATTAACAAGAATTTGAAAATAAGAAGTCCTTGTTCGGGAGTGGTTCTTCCTAAATTTTTGTTCCTAGGTCTCATATTTTTTTAAGACTTTCACTCTGTAGGCTTAATCAATAGCTGAAGAAAGA